TGATTTCACAGGCACGCGCTTGATTTTAAGACATCACAATCAAATGAGGGTGGCACGCCTAGCACTCATATGGTTATTTGAGTGCTAGGCGTGCCACCCTCATTTTTTATCAACAGTATGTATCCCTTCTCTTCATGTGCAGCCATCGCAAAGTGTTTCGTTCATTTTGTACTAAACCACAGCTTAGACTGCACGTGATTGCAAACGAAATGCAACCAACATTGATTAGGCCTAGCCTGCCATCCGGTACATTGTCACGGAAAGTTTGGATAGAATGTTAAGGGGGATGCGATTCTCAGAACGGTCTAAAATGGTCAAAAATCAATTTTTTTGTAAAGCTTATGTTCGGGGCGTTTGTACATCTGAGCACCTACTCTCAAATTGCTAGCGCTAAGTTCGGTCGGGAAACGCGATAAAATTGGCCTTCAATGCACCCCTGTAGCACTAAAATGCCCCCAGGGGGACGAAATTTGTTCTTCCCTTGCACGCCTTGTGCGTTGCGACAGAGCGAGCGCTGCCATCTTGGGCTTGATTTGAAGCTGTTTTCTTTGTGCACAATATACGCCATCTCAAAATGGTCTCGCTCAAGCTTAATGGCTGCCATCACGGGTTTTCTGAAGCTCAGTTTCTGGGAACCTTAGTTTCCAGATCGGCGATTGGCCCTCACCCGGCGCTCTTTGCAAGCGCACCTTTCCGAGTCTCCCATTTGCTGTGGCGACCGACGCGTCATCTTTTTCTTTCTTTGTGTTGCATTCGCTGCTGTGGCTGTCCATTTATGTGCATCTGCTCTTGCGATCATGCATGTTTCTCGACGCACCGTGTTTCCGCTTTGCACTGGTACTTTTTCACCGCGATCGAGACGCCTGGAGTCTGTCGTCTGAAACCATTGACGCGATGAGCTTTTGGAAGCCATAAAAAAACCGCCTTGGAACAAGAAGGCGCCGGCCACAAGTGCCCTTTGGCAGCTAGTTGCAGTCGCGGCTAGACCAGTTGGATCCGCCGGAAACTTTAATGACGCTGTTTACTGACGACACCGTGGGACCAAGTTCGACGAGTGATACACTTCAGATTGGTGCTGCGTACTGCTCAACGGCGGAGCAGGTGCAGCGATTTGAGAAATCGGCGCAAACGAAGACCGTTTTGTCGGGAAAGTCGGCTACCCGAAAGTACGACCTCCTTGGAGTCAGTCGCCATCCGATTTTCGGCAGCGCATACGGAGCCAACAAGCTCGAAGTTCAACGCGAGCACTGATAACACTGTAATCGGGGAACAGCGACAGCATGACGTGTAGCTGAAATTGAGGTAGACATCATCGCAAGCACGCGGAATGCCGTGCAAAAGAAAATAGGAGACGTTTTTGAGCCGTGTTGATGACTGAGGTAGCACCGACCACATCATTTTTTTATATATAAACTGTTTTTTTTTTTCCGAGCCACCTAAACGATGTATTTACAATGTATTTACAAGATTGCAACAGGAATTTTGTACTACAGCCATGACCCTCTGTGTCGGCAAAAGATACCTATTAAAAAATGTGCATTTTTTTGGGCATTCGTTTTCGAATGGATGCCCGATTTTCGGGAGATTTTCATGGTTCCGTAAGGGTCCGGAACACAGCAACTTATTTCCCAGGGCAGCAAGCTGTCTAACAGCTTGTCATGGTGGAGTTCTGATAATGCTTTCCACATTAGAAATGATTCCAAGGGTGGAATAAGGCACATGTTGTTTTGTTTTGCAGGGGAATAGATGAAGAACATGTGTATCAAATTTGTGATAGAAGTTCCTTATAAAAAATTTTGCAGTGCATGTGGAAATTTCAGATGCAATTTTCTCAGCTTCACATTTTTTTTCCCAACCTGACCAGCCTTACGGAACATTCCATCATGTTTTTGTGCAGCAATTTTTTTTATATATACTATTGAACTCCTAAGAAACAGAACTATGCTATCCTATTTGTTGTGGCTAAGAAGGACATATGAAATGTTATGAACGATAATGTGAGCTAATTAAATTTCAAACTTGTGGAGGATTGAGACAAATAAAAAAATTTATATGATGATGTATATCAGTGACAATATAAATGGCATAGCTCCACATGGCAGGTCTTTGGCTACAGCTACATCCTAAACAGAACCTAAAAATATTGGAGGAAAGTGCCTTAACGACCCGTAAGAAATTGCGCAATGAGACTTCTATTATGCTCTCACAATTTGATAACTAGTTGGTGTACATTAAAACTAATTATATTTTTGAAAATAGGAGGAACAAATACATATACACACCTAACTTTATTACAGCATCTCCGGTAATAAAAATTTTCATTTCAAGACGAGCGTCTCGCCTTAAGATTCAGCGTCCAAAAGGTCACACTTAACACCTGTGCCAAGAACAATGTGCGTTATAAAAAGTTTGCATTCACAGCCAGGATATCAATAAGGACAAAAAGCTGCCAAACTTATGCAAGACCGCGCACTGGCAGCAAAAGTGAAAGCTCGCGTCATAAAGCCGTAAATGTTCTTAAATTTACAGAAGAGGTAGCGAACACGATGTTTGTAGCAAGCTCAAAAACTACAATGCTTTTCCTGGCAGGAGACTTTTTTAGCGAAGTTCATTATGAAGGGAACGCACGTGCTACTTTGAGCCACGCTTGGCAGGCAGCCGAAGCCACATCGGAGCTTGTGCAAAGGGTTATCCGTTGCCTTGGTCGTGGTCTCCTTTTTTCTTCTTTTTTTCTTTTTATTCCTCCCTCCGCCCTTCATTCGTTTGCTCGGCATCTCATCCTCCTCCATAATAACCTTGTGACTCGCTCCCCAGTGGCTCACCCAGCACGCCTCCTTTGAGACGCGCACTCACTTCCACGTGTCACAAATATTTTCTGGCAACCGCATTATAACTGGTCTCCCATTGTGCGGGGACTGCACAATAAGCAGTATGCTTATACATCGGGTTCTATGGGAGAAACGGTAGTCTAAAAAGACAGCATTATAACTGGATCTGCACTAAAAGTGGCAATGTTATAAGTGATCTATGGGTATGAGCAAGGGGACTCATACTTATAAACTGCACTTTGACAGCATATTAAGGTGAAAAACTTGTGAACACGTGCTACTACTAAAGCGAATGTTTGACAAGTGGACTCATTTTCTTCAAGGCTGCCTTGAAAAATTCGCCCCCTCCCCCCTCGCTTTATGCTGGAATTGATCACCGATTATATCCATCCATAGCAGTTTACATTATACCAGATTTCCTTCATAGAAGGCGTTTTCCGAATAATTGGAAAACTGGAAGTGATGTGCCCCAGTTCTTTGAAATTGAAGGGTGTTGTGACCTGGTGCTCACTTCAAAAGTTATTCAGTACGATAGAGCATTATCATAGTGAGTTGTCGTTGTTATTAAATGCACCATTTACACAGGCAATTTTAAATGACATGTTTTCATTTGAATGAGCTTTTTCTTCTTTCTTTACACGTTTCACTGCAGGCTGTTTTTTTTATATAGGATTTTTTTTTTTATTGACCTCCTGGCGCCTGTCATTTGCAGTAGGCACCATACTTCGCTTGTCACTAACGCTTGGCTTGTGTGCATCAGGCACATCTTGTGCAGTGGTGTAAAGTCATGATGTGACACTCTTTCATGCTAATGACCTGATGATAAATGGATGTTTTCTGGATGTTGGCCTTGTCTACCTACCGGTTTACAGTGCAGCAGCGTTCACGTCATGCACTCTAATGAGAATATTCACAGATAATTCAGACATGTTCGACTTCAAATTACGCTAAATCTTGTTTTATCTGCTCTAAAACAGACTTTTTGTGCTCTAAAAGTTGGTTCAAATCGTAAACTGGCTGGATCACCACTGAATATGGCATTACTGTTGTTTCTGTCACAATGAACGTGCCGAGACTCCTCTGTCTGGTGAATTAGTTGTTCCTGCACGCTGTGCAAGGCAGAAAGCACACTTATGGATCAATAAAGTGGAATGCTAGGCCAGTTGGTTCAACACAATGTGGAAATATGTGAACACACAAGGTAGAAGGAAGGACGCACTTGACAGGAAAAATGCTCAACTTACAACTGCAGTTTTATTAGAAAAAATTCATTGCGTGAGAACACGAATGCACATCGGCGATACGAGCCCATGTTTAAATGATCGACTCGGAGAACATGCGTCGACCTTGAAGGCTCTTGCAGGTGACATGTATTTGTCAATGCAGGGATTGTGGTGCAATCTGCAGTTTGGCAGCACGAGGATTCTGGGCAAATCAAAACTCCCAGAGAAATCCTAAAAGCAGTACAGATTAGGGCGAACGCAAGCACGTGTATCAGTGTGCCCTCGCTTCGATAAATAAAAAAGAGGTGTGTTTTTTTGAGAAGTTTAAGGAGATAAACATACTTTTTGTGGGGGTGGCTCCTTTTAGCGATAGTACATTGCGCCTGCCCATTTCGGTGTTCTCGTGCAATGCATTTTTTCTAATAAAACTGCAGTTGTAAGTTGAGCGTCTTTCCTGTTAAGAGCTTCCTTCCTTCTACCTTGTGCGCTCATATATTTCCTTATTACGCTTGAGGGTGTCACGGGTAGTGCGGTGCCACTTAGATTTCCAGTTGTTGTCAGGCTGCTCTCTACGTTAAAAAGACATTGCAAAGAAAAGAGATTTATTAAAACTTGTTATTGGGCTAGTTGATAATTACGAAACACTTAAAATATGGCCTTACCTCAGTACCAAAAAAACACTTTGTAAGCCAGTGAACACACAAAATGATAACGCGAATAGTGGTGCCACCTTTTCACCATGACATCCTAGACTTTTGATGCCATCTGCCAGGGCTTAAATTATTCTTCATTGGTAAAAAAAATAACTTGCATTATCTTGAGCTGTGAGACACAATTCAGCTATTGTGGCCAAAATATAGAACACACTCTGACCCTGACGTTTGTTAATAAGAGTGTGGTTGGCATTTTCGCTTTACTGTCGCACTTGACCATTGTGTTCTCCGACCAGGCACCACCACTTGGCCACAAGCGACCGCGCTCTCCGTCTCCATTTTCGCGGGCACCTGCGTGGTCCTCTCCACCTCGCATGCGGTCGCCTCCGCGGGACCTCTGGTCGGGAGGACCGCCACCTCGCAAACGCTCCCCCGAGCCTTTCCTTGACCCAGTCGCTCGGGACCTCTTTGTTCCGTCACCTGGACCAAGCGGTGCCTTCGAGCCTGGCCCTCGAGGACCTCAGGTCTGTTTATTAAGACCATCGTTTCGTGCCTGCCTAGGTGCCATTTTAGTTCAATCTGGCAGCCGTAGGGCTTTTTGCATTAATACCTAGAAGGAAATCTAGTGACACTGTGAAAATTTTCTTTAAGTAGGAGCTATGCCATCATAGGAATAGCGGGTATGTGTGTCTGAAAAAAATTCATAAACAGGGGTAGGTGTGCTTGAGCTGCTGTTTCGACTACTGTATTTGTGTTGCTCAAGGCTAGAACTGTTTTCCTTAACGCCGAGTGTTTATGCTCATACTCCCTCCTCCAGTCCAAAGAAAGAGGGGAGAGGGAAAGTGCGGATACGGGGGGTACTCGTGACTAATTGTGTGTAGGCAAAGGGGAACAGGTATTCTGTGATCAAAGGGCTGGGGTGAGGTCTAGATGTTTCTGAATCAGTGTTGTCAAAAAAAGTGTCACCTAACAATCCACTCAAATCTCAATATAACGAATGCAGATATAAAAAATTATTGGTTATAAAAAACTGCATGAAGAATAGCTCTGTCATAGAGTGAGTGCTACAAATATGTTTATAACAAATTTTCGGATATAGCGAAGTATTTTTGTGGCAGGTGTGGCTTTGTTATGATGAGGTTTGAGTGTAGTAGGTTTGAAATTCTTAGAACAAGGTTTGACTTCACTGGTTGTTATTTCGTGTATATAATATCGAATGGATTCAAGAGGCCCCTTAGAAACGCTAACACCTGCTGGCGGGAGTGTATTGAACTTGTGAATAAGGTGTGACGCTATATATTTGCTCGCTCTTGTGGACAGCAACTTTCACTGAAGTATGTAAAGTTTGAGGTTGTTGATGTTCTGAACTGCAACGTCAAAATGCTGGGCCAATGCTTTCAGTAAATTCTTTGCCGTGTCCGTGTTATTACCATTTAATCTAACATTAGCAGGCTGTCCCGTTTTGCCAATGTATTTGGAGAAGCAAGCAAACATGAGCCTGTTGTATGGTGCCAGAGATAATTCGTCTTGATTGAATTCATCTTAACGGGAGTTTAGCACTCTCAATAAATGGAACCTGAAAGTACCAGGAAAATATGTTCCTAGTCAGATATTTCATTTTGAGATGTTTATTTACCGAGTTTACTTCATACAATAGTCTTAACTTCAGGTAATCAAATGATTCGGTTAGGTAACAATCTATATTATTTTATTTATTTACGGATACTGTCAGCCCTAACATTGGGCTATTAGAGGAGTAGAAAAAAAAGTACACGAAAAAAATAGCGATCCTTCCAAGAACAGAACATAGTTAACAGATATAATCAGAAGTAACAAATTAAAGGACAAGAATGAAGTCATAAAAAAAAAACGCGACCGCTAAGGCAACCAAGAACTTAAACATTGAATGCACTAGAGCATGCAGATGCAAATAGAGCATTAGTAATTACAAACAAAGATATGTGCTAGGTGTTTTAAAAACATATCTTTGGATGAGCTTGAAACTGCTTCATCGCTCAACGAATTCTATTCATTGATAGCTCTTGGAAAAAAGCTATACTTAAAACAATCGGTGGAAACAGCAGGTGCAGGAATAAACATTCAATGGCGTTGTCTAGAAGTTTCAGTACGAAAAATATAGAAATATCCAGCATACCTTATATGAACACGGTTAATAATAATGAGGTAAAGATACTTGAGTCTTTCGTTTTTTGTCCTAGCTTGAATCGTGGGTAGCTCCACTAGAGCGCACAGTTGAGATGGGGAATTCGGCCATCAATATTTATTAAATATAAACCGGACTGCTAAATGCTGAATTTTTTTCAATTTTTGATATGTTTGTAATCGTGAATGGATCCCAGACCATTTTTGCGTATTCAATTATTGGTCTAATGAGCGTTTTGTAAGCTAAACATTTAGTTTCTTGTGTCGCAAACAGCAAATGGCGCCTGAGACTCCATAGGGCCCTAGTGGCATTCGCGCACACATAATCTAAGTGCTGATTCCAGCGAAGATCACTTGTAAAATTTAAACCAAGGTACTTATGTTGTTCAACTCTTTTTAGTTCATGATTATCAATGTAATAAGTATAATTTAAGTAATTTTTCTTCCTAGTGACTGTCATAACTACTGTTTTCAGGGGGTTCAGCACCATTTGCCATTCATCACACCATTTTTATATATTCTGTAAGTTTTTGAGTAATTTTATTTGGTCACTTATTGTGTCGACTTTGATGCAAATAGCCTTATAGAAACCCCAACTCCATTCAGAAGGTCATTTGTAAATAAAAGGAACAGAAGTGGGCCCAGGACACTGCCTTGGGGTACTCTCGACTTGACAGCTGAAACAGGAGACTTAGTGCCATTGATTTCCGCAAATTGCTGACGAGATTGAAAATAGGATAAAAACCACTTTGTGATAATAATATTTTGGAATGTAGCATCAATTTTCCCAAGTAATTTACTGTGAGACACTTTGTCGAAAGCTTTCCCAAAGTCCATAAATTATAATCATATCTGTCTGTGCATGTGAGTTAATATTTTTCGAAAGGTCATGGACTAATTCGATGAGCTGGGATGTTGTAGACAAACCCTGTCAAAACCCATCTTGGCAGTTAGATAAAATATTATGCTCACTCATACAGTTTAATACATGTTTCCAAATGATATGTTCAAGCAGTTTTGAGCAAATACTGATAATTGAAACACGCCGATAATTTGCTACATTGTCAGAACTGCCGCTTTTAGGAATTGGGATCACTTTAGCTATTTTCCACTCTTTGGGTAAGGAACCCTGGAGAAGGGAAGACATAAAAATTAATGCAAGATATTTGAAATTCCATTCAGCGTATCTGTACAGAAATACATTATGGATAGTGTCATGCCCAGGGTTTTTTTTTTTTTTTTCTTAAAGTTCAAATTGAGCAAGAGGTTGAAGACACCCTGTTCGGTAATTACCAAGTCCTAGGTGGCCTGTTAAATGGTGAAACAATGCTCGGCAAAATGCCATTATCAATAGTAAACACTGAAGCAAAGTATTCATTAAAACTCACAGTGGTGGGGAACTGCGCAACCTGACTTATTGAGCGAGCTTTCGTTGATGGGTTAACATATCTCCAAAATTTATCAGGTGCCTCCCTTAAGAATTTTGGGAGGGTTTTGCCAAAAACACTTTGTTTAGATTTTTTAAAAAGTAATTTAAAATCCTTTTCAAGATTACGAATGACTGATTGGTTTAGTACATTAGGATTAATTTTAATGTTCTCATGATTTCGTTTCAATTGCGTTTTTAATTATTTTCCTTGTTATCCAAGGACTTCTTTCACTAGTCTTCTTAATTAAGTTGCTTTAGTATAAAGCGTTCAATACAACACATTACCAAATTGGAAAAGTATTTCCGGAGATAATCTGGGCTCTGATTATTCTTTTAATACTCACAGAAACACTCATAGGAGTCTTCTAACAATTACAGTACCTCAACATCATCTGCTCTAACAAAGTTAAAAATATATTTTGAGGGATGATTGACAGCAGTGAGCAAAACAGTCAAGGACAGCCCTACCAGTTTGTGATCAGAAATACCATCACAAATTTCGCAGTCCCGGAGTGTGGGTAACAATTGATTAGACACTAAAACAAGGTCGAGGATGGATGAGCTTTGCGTACTGACTCTTCTTGAGTCGTTCACTACCTGGCTTAAACCAAAGCAGAAAGCCAGTTCAAGGAGTGCTTCACTATTTGAAATTTCTGTCGCTCCGAGAGAGTAGTAATTCCAGTTTATGCCTGGCAGGTTGAAGTCACCCAAAAGTATAATATTATCACTATGTTGCATATTGCTGTCCATAAAGCACCGAAGACTAGAAAGAATTTGGACTGGTGAATTTGGTGGCCTATATAAACCACCTATGTGGATTACGCGATTTTTAAAAAACACCTTAATCCACACTGTTTTATGTCATAAAGAACAGGAAGCACAGTAAACTTGATATTGTCACGAATCAGCAATGCGACCCCCCCTCCCCCCATCTCTACTATTTCGGTCTTTCCTAGCTATATTATAAGATTTCGGAGTTATCTCACTGTCCAATATGTCTTTATGAAGCCATGTCTCCGTAATCATCATAATGTACGGTTCATGTTAAAAATTAGCTCTTTAACATCCTCGACCTTACTTAAAATGCTTCTAGCATTCACATTGAATACTTTGAAGCATTCTTCTTCCAAAATTCAGGTGGAATCACTCTTTTGATAAGCACGACACTCGTAGCGCTCGTTCGTGTCTTCATTCTATGCATAAAGATCATTGTTGATTTAAATGTTATCACGTATTAGTTTAACCTTTGCTCCCTTTGACCGCTCCTCCTGCGAAGACGCCCAAAGACTTTTTTTTCGTATTTCAACAAATCCCTTAAAATGATCCTCGGTGACGCTTATGTTCGATCCCTTAAGCATGGAACAATGACCGAAGATTTTAGTTTTATTTCGGAAGTCAGCTAATCTGATGATTATGGGACGGTCTCTACTTTCAGTTCTTTTACCCAGGCAATGTATTCTTTCAATCGATTTTATTTTGAGTTTAAGAATGCTACTAAACACATCATCATTCACCTTTTTCATCAAAATTTCATCAGTTTCACGACCCTCTTCTCTAATGCTTCTTATTATTAGGTTATTTCGCCTGGATCTATTTTCTAGATCGTCTACGTTCCGGCTGAGCAAATCTATATTCCTGTCTCTTTCATTCAGATTGCCCTCAACATTGGTTAATCTGTTCTTGACAGTTTCAAATTCCTTCAGATTTTATTCTGTGGTTGACAGTCTAATATTCATTTGAACCAATCTTGCTTAAGAAGAGGCCTGTTTCTCTTCAATCTCAGAAAGTTTGCTCAACATTATTTTCTGTGTCTCAATAAGTTCCTTAATCATTTTCGCATTAGTAGCCCTGGGATTTTTTTTGACGTCTCCCGATAATGATAACAACATTCCTACCAAGAAAAAACATTCGCTGATACATTTCGTAACGGTATGTGGACACGGCAGCACGACAAGACAAAGGTAATTACTACGAATACCTTATTTCTTTTTACTAACCTGGATATATAAAGGGACGTCAGCCATCGTTGTCACGACTGTGCCACTGTGTCCACTGAAGACCGTCATTGTCGCTGCTGCTTTTAAATCCAATAACCAGGCATGCCGGTTCTTTCCTGGTGACGTCAGGGTGCCCGAGGATAATGCGCGGTAGGCACTATCCACGTGTATATTCAGCCACGACTGGCAAGGAAGTCTCCGCCCTTGGCTCTTACTACAGGGCCAATTTTTATTACTTCTTCTGCTGAATAATTGTCCTGCGAAAATGTAGCATGCCTTAGTGATTTAAATTGTTGTTGTGGCCGAAAAATTTGACATGTGAGAACTTGGTCAGCATATGCAACAATGCCTATTACATTACAAAAATGTGATTTCTCCTCAAAATTGCTTTTATGTGATTTTTCATATGCATTTCAACAATATGTATCTCTGTAATCTATCTTTTTTGTGTGTGTGGTTGTTTCACCTTTTTTGTTGTCAATTGAGCATCTTCATTCCCTGCATGCAACTGCATGCATTTCAGCCACCTTAATGCAGTAACATTACTGTTACAATGTGAAACCTAAGTGGTACTGTTATTTGAATGAAGAAGCAACTACGGTTGGGTACAAGTGCAAAACTCCAAGGTGTTTCTTCCTCACAAAGACAGATGAGCACAAGCCTGCACCAATAGGCATGCACTCTAGACTGACATCATGAGCGAGACAGCCTGTGACTCCGCCTTCGAAAAACGGTGAATGCATAAGCATGACTGTATCTTTAGTCACGGTCAGCTGCTCTGGGGCGGAGCCTTCTCGGGATTCTTGAGCTGAATCAGAGTATAGTTACGAGTACCCATCACGTGTGACCGACCATACTTGCTGCCAAAGACTAAAATAAGTGCAGATCATCACCTTCTCTGCCATTTTGTGTGTTTTTGTCCAAAAATTCTTGCCCAATGGTGGCTGATGCAAGTGTTTCTGCGAACGGCTGCAGCCTAGCATGCTTGAGGACTATGCGGAGCGTCGTGGTCCTGGCAATAGCTCTGGCGGGATGCCAGATCCGACATCAGTGGCTGCCACCCTGGAGACCATGATCCAGCTGCAGCAACGGCTGCTCAGCAACATAGGGCCCCAGCAGGGTTCTGGCGGAGGAGGTATGATGGGGGCCTCGTCTGGCTACCGCGACGAAGGCTATGGGAACATAGCACGGAGTCTCCAGGACATGGACCTGCAGAAGAGCCTGCAGCAGTTGAGACAGAGCCAGCGGTACAATGTGAGTAGTGCTATGGAGCCATGGGGTTTCCCACACGAGTCATGTGAGCTTATCCCAGTGCTATAGTCGTTTAGTTGGTACATCGGTCTGCCTGATTTATCACTTTGAATTGAGAATGATGTACTGCTTGCATGCCATTGTTACACTGCCTTACCATCAGGTGCCCCTCAACAGCCTGACAAGTGAAGAGTCTCTAGGATGTGTTAAGCAGTAGATAAAACAACCTGACTACAGTCTAAACCCATAATAATGAAATTACCCTGCAATGAAATCCTTGTGACAAATGATGTATATTTCTACACCTGGTGAACACGCATAGTATTCAATGCACACTATGTTTCTCGGCAAGAAAATATTTCTATGCTGCAATGCTGCAACAGTGAAAGTTAACGTAGCATTTCTCCTCATATTATCCATTTGTACTAAGGTCACCGAACTCCGGAATTCGCTCAACTAGATTTGCCTCATAATTGAGTTGCATACAGTACCACTGCAGTGTGCTTCCATAGGTGTCGCCATCTTTGTGTACAGAGTTGTCGCAGTGCCAGAGGTTGGAGGCGTTCAGTATTATCATAGTCACCACATTCCTTGTATAGACTGCCTTTTTTTTTCATGTGCATTCCTGTGCACATAATAAAACTGTCAAGAATGGAGACACAGCTCGCTGTGCATCTTTTGCCATTGGGCTGCAATATGAAAGGGGGGGGGGGGGGGTTATATAATGGTTCATTTTATCCGAAACTCTGTTGTACGTGGGTCCGTTATAATGAGCGTAGACTGTAGGAACCACTAAAGACGAGAGTTGGGAATTGCCTGAAGTTTTCGTGTTGTGCCATTCTGTCTCCAGAAGAGATTGTAGCAAGCATCCTACCTTAAGGAAGAAGAGAAAGAATAATTAGCTCTGGGAGTGTAGAACAACTCCTCCCAACTCTACCTCAAGCAAGTGGGAGAGGTCCCTCAGGAGCTCACTTCTCGCCGACCAGCAATGGGCCGTCCAGCAGGCCCACGAAGCGGCCGCCAGGTACTCCCTGTTGGTCCCTACGTGGGAGACGCCCGCTACGCGCTAAGCGCGTCCTGCAGCACTGAAATAAAGTTTTTTCATTCCATTCCATTCCCTTGTAAAGAAAGCACCAAGAATTTAAGTCAAATAAGCGCTGGTGTTAAAAAAAAAAGCAGAATGCTTTGCTACCCTGCAGAGTGTTATACCGGAGAAGGTTTATAAGATCTTAGACAGAGTGGCCTTATTCATGACCACTACTCCTAAAGGCATTCATTCACAAATCCACATTCAAACAATATTGAGCATTGCAAATAAAAGGGTCCGAATTTCATCTCATCCACAGATTTTTTTTGTTTAGCTCCTTATGACAAGTTGTTACATGGCTATGAGGGCAGTTCATTAAATACAGTCAACTGCCGATTTTTCAGACATGCCCGATAATTCGGACATCTTCGCGGCACCGCCACAAGCCCCATAGAATCAATGTGTAAGGAAGTCTGAAATTTCGGACGCTCGAACTCCCCGGAGTCCAATTTTCCGGACTTTTTGACGCGATGGAAGGTCGGAAACCACCACTGACCTCCAGTGGAAACCACCACAACTGCATCACACGCGATTACGATTGCATAAATGTGCGCGACGGTCTACTGTGGCGGCATCTGTTGCTTGGACTCATTGATCGTTAACAGAGAAGCACACACGGCCTCCGAAATTTCTAACACTCGCCGTGTTTATCGTGTAAGGGTGCTTCGCTGATAATAGAAACTATCCACATGAAATTTTTTGATGCCAATAAAGTTCCTTTTGCTTTAGCGCTCGTTATCGTGCGTGCCACTCTGGCTTGCCGCGCAGCGCTTTCACGAAGCGTTTCACCACTTCGAACTAGGACTAACCGTCACACAACAATTTGGTCTGGCCACGCTAGCTATCTTGAATGTCTACCAGCGCCACCTCTGGAGTACCCGAGGCACCGTCGCGCCGTTTTGTTTACGCAGCCCACATGGTGTTTGGCTAGCCTAGTGCGTGGTTGTGCGATCATGTGAAGTGTGCTCTTCAACACTAAGCCTGGGTGCTTCGACGCTCGTCAGCAAACTCCTTTGTTCACATCGTGAGGATTTCGCTTGCCTGCGATGGCCCCCACTCCGCCTTCGTCGTCCTCGCTGATGGCATCGAAGCGCGGAAAACAGTACCGTCGGTTAACGATGGAGAAGAAAGCCGCCATTATTAAGTTAGTGAAGAGTAGCCGATCGCAGGCTGTCGTGAGCAAGGAGTTTGGCATTTCCAAGCAAACAGTTTCCGATTTCCCGAGGAACAAAGACAAGATCTTGGAAGCGGCCGAAAAACCGTCTGGTGCGCAAAAGCCACTGCAGCTCTAACACCGGCTGCCCTGACGGCTGCATGCATTTTTTTTAACGGCTCTTTTCAGAGCCACCCCACTGATGCTTTGGCAGAGTTCCGGAAGTCTTGTTCTTCGACCTTGACCCTCTTGATCGGAGAAATATCAATGAAATGGTGCGTTTTTTGCTTGCATTGAAAGTTGTCAGTAAAATAATGCGTTTTTTTTTTTACTTGCGTTCATTTTTTTGGACTGCCCGAATTTTCGGACAGTTTTTCGCTCCCTAGAGGGTTCTAAAAATGGGCAGTTGACTGTACTTAGCCTCACTGCGAGATCGCGACGCTATCGCATGAGACATATACTGACAGTGAGTACGCTGTCTTAAAAGTCCAGTTGAATCTGCCTCGCGGTTTCATTTTGACTGCTTAAGGAAGCAGTGGATTATTTGGTGTTCATTAAAAATGGAAAAAGAGCAATTGATTCAATTATTGTTTTTGGAAGGGATATGGTGTGACTAGATGCAGTCTACGGTGAGTTTTCTCCTTCGATGGTAACCATCAAAAATTGGTTTAACGAGTTTAAACACGGTCACACTTCAGTTTTTGATGAGCCCCGCTTAGCGTCCCACAAACGGCTACCACGGCCAATAATGACAAAGATCCTTGACCTCGTATTGTCAGACCCCTGACTGAGGGTGCGCGAGACAGTAGGAATCTAAAAAGACTGTGTGGGACATATCTACATGAAATATTGGGCATGAGAAAGCTATCCACACGATGGGTGCCGCATTTGCTCACTCCAGACAAGCGCATCTGTGAGACCACTTCAGAGCAGTGTTTGAAGCTGTTTAAGCATAACCCGAAAAAGTTCCTGCATCGTTTTGTGACCGTTCACTAAACATGGATCTACTGGCACACACCAGAGACCAAAAAATTGTCGCCAGAGACCAAACACTGACACCAGAGATCAAAAAACTGTTGAAACAGTGCACTGCAGGCGAAGAACCTGCTCCAAAGCAGGCAACGACTGCTCCATCAGCCATAAAGATGATGGCCACCATTATCTGGGATTCTCAAGGTGTGATCCTCGTCACCTACCTTGAGAAGGGCCAAACGGTGACGGAATTCTATTATGCTGAATTACTGACCCAGTTCTCTTATACTATGACAACGCGCCAGCTCGCACCTGCGTCGCCACGGCCAAGTAGATAAAACTTGGCTACGAAATCGTGCCCCATCCAGCGTATTATCCAGATTTGGTTCTGAGTGATTTCTTTCTGTTTCGCAACTTGAAAAGTCACTCCCCAGACAAAAATTTGAGCCAAATAAAGAAGTTATTGCCGCCACAGACGCCTACTTTGCAACTCGTGGGAAAACCAGTTTTTCTGGTGGGATCAAAAAGTTGGAGGACCGCTAGGTCAAGTGTATAGAGTTGAAAGGGGAGGAGACTATGTAAAGAAATAAATCGACACCATTAAAAAAAAAGTTTTTTTTTTTTAAGAGTGGTTGTACTGCCCCCTTATTTCACTTAGAGAACTTTTTTTTGGTGTTTCGCGAGATTCATTGAGGGGAAGTTTCGGGGGGGGGGGGGGGGGGGTGAGCAAATCTTGTCAGAAAGGGTTGTGAGACTAGAATGGCAAGGGTTGGTAGAGAAGCCTGAGCTGTTCTCTCAGTTTGCACCACTTGCTTCCCCAATTTTTTTCCCTTTTTGCTCTGCAGGTTGGTCCGTCCCCTCCGCCATATGGGAGTGGCAGCACATCAGCAAGCTCTTCTCGGGGCCTCCAGTCTGGTGCTTACATGGACAGCTCACCATCACCTTTCCGCGAGAGCCGTTCCAGCTTTCAGGGAGGCGCGGGTGATGGCTTTGGTGGCAAGCGGGCCTCATACGGAGGAGCTGTAAGTGGTCCAACTACTTTTCTCCATTGCGTCACAGTTAAGAAGTCAGATAAAAAGGCTAGTGTCAGACAGTCAAATAAGAAGGCTACTAAGAAGACTGCTAAGAAGTCAGTCAGATAAGAAGGCTAGGGCAGTGTCAACAGTACTTCAAGGTTGCCGAAACTGAATCCAATTTGTATATAGTATGCGAACTTTCTTCAACTTCATTTTCTATTTCGCTGTGCTTTAGTTTTTCAATTGCCTCTTGTGTTTTTTACTCCTTGCTGCGATTGTCGACTGTGTAATCTCATTGAACTTCAGCAAACCTGTGTGGTGATACAGGGGAATGCAGAACATTTCAGTGACTAAAGCATTAGCTTTCCATTGAAACTCCTTGCAGGCGTAATTCACAGCATAATTCACATATAAAACTTTCATGCACCGTTACCCTTGCAAGGAGGTGCTGCTGTCCAAAATTTATCATTATAAACTGCAAGTACTGTACATGGAAGTGGTGGGGCATGGTCGAGCTACCAGAGCTCACCCGCAGAAAAAGCCTCTCAGGCTGAGTGAGGCCTCAGATAACAACAGCCCTTTTATTTACTCACTGCCTCTTTGTATGCATTTGGAGGGTGCCACCATGAATCGATAAATTTTTAAGAATCTGTCCAGTACGAGCAGAGAAATTTGTCGCGCGCTGCAAACGCATTCTTTCTTCTCCCGTCCTCACAAAAGCGCTGGAAGCTAAGCAGGAAGGGATGGCAGGGGCAAAAAAAAAACAACAACAACATGTCACGCACGCATCGTGACCTTCAGCACTGTTTTCTTATTTTCATTTTTCTTCGAATACACGACTTTTTCTGTGATTATGTGCGCATGCGTGGACAAATAGCGGCCTCCCACGGCGGTCCTTGTAACAACCGAGCACACCATGTTCAAATCAGCCAATGGCTGATAGGTGGCCTTCTACGAGTGATTTTTGAGCATATTCCATCATTTGTAGAGAATAGAAAGGAATTTTCGGCTAACTTCGATAATTTATTGTGAATTCCAGACCACGTGCTGGGCTATAATATTTAGCTCACATGTTCTTGGGAGCCCCTACTACTGACGGGCAACGTTTTCTGACCATATTCAAAAAGTGTTGCAGAACCCCTTTAATTAAGTGCTTTCATAGCTTAGCACCTCTTCACTACAGTGAAATTGTTTTCACAGGAGTTCACTTGCGGACTAATATACATCTATTCATTCAATACAGTGTAAGTAAAAAGTTGATATAATACAGAAGGAGGTCCCAAAGTAAAAACTGTCAGGGGGACTTCCTGTAAATTCATGTTATGGTGACCTCGCTCCTAACTGCAGCGGACGATCACCGCGGGTTCACGCTTAGCGAGCCACAGGGCCGCTACTCCGTTTACTCGCGTGTAGCGCACCGCTCCGCGCGCGCTCAACTGATAAGGCGTTTAGCGCGGCGCGGCAAATAGACAGTGTTCTAATGTAACAGTACACAACACTTTATTGCCTCTGGCGGCACCCCGAACAACAGCACAACGTCCGCTCCCGGGACGCGGGTAGCAAAGGCACCCGCACGCGGACGTTCACAATAAGGGGAAAACCGCGAGCACGTCGCAGCTGGCAATGGCGAGCTTTGACACGCCGGTCAGGAAAAGGTCCCTCGCGGCTATGCTGCGCACTCTCACGATGGCCACTGGGCCTGGTCGCGAGTGTTAGGGCAAACCTCGTACGCGCTGGGCCTACGGCAAGTGCGGCTCGTTGTGGTACGACCACTTCAAGCACTAGGCACCGCTGTGGGCTTAGCGTACGCTACCGAAGCTAACACTCAAGTAAACACGCCTGCCGAGGTGCCCAAGGCCACCCCAGGCAGGCTGCAGTCCGGCGATTCCCAAAGGGGACGCGGACGAAGGAAAACACGTGCTTACCCGGCGCCGACCAACGGAGAAGAGAGCGCTCCCTCGGCGCGCGCAGTGGCGCGCGCCGTGCCCGCACGTGGCGCCATCTATCGCCACGTGGTGTTAACAGAGCAGGAAAGCGAAAGGGTGTGGCCGTGTGGCGGAATGCCCGCGAAATGGTCGCAGGCGCGCCTCAGATCCCCACATCCTCCTCTCCTTAATTCACCCTATATACCGGTCTGCAAAGGCAGCCGGTCGTCGCCCATGCATGCAAAGGCGTCATACAATGGGCAACAGCTAGCCTCAGCCTCGCTCTGCAACTGCTGCTGAAGAAAAAAAATAAACAACACAAGAATACACTTGACAAATACAAGGGCTCCGCGGAAGAGGGGTAACGGGAGTTCATGATGCTCACGCAAGAGCGCGTTCACGGCTCGGAGGGGCAGCGTCACGTAATGTCTGACTTGGGTGATTGCGTGGATGCGAGAGTTCAAGGGGAGGGTCCTGGTTGAGGCCCTCATGCGAGGAACGGGCTCACCTTCGTCTCGTCGATGTTGACGACAGCCCTGAGAGTCCGACGAATGCCGCCTTGGTGGAGGTTCGGATGGACCTCGCTGCGACAGCCGGCCCTTCTGTTGGAATAATGGTCGCCAAATATACTGGCTTCGGCGTCGGTCGAGTCGTGCAGAGCGTCTGCGACAGATGGCCTCGTGCAGGAGCCTCGTGCAGGTCTCCGAACACCTCCAGAGTCCAAAGTGGTGTAGGGGTCGGTGACTTCCTAAGTTGTCGCCACACGCACACACACACACGCACACACACCTCCGATGGTCGGGTCTCTCCAAACGCGCACCGCAAGGGAAGCGCAGAGTGTCATTTGTCCCCTCTCCCCACGCTAAAGCACCAATTCAAATCCCCTCCTCCAGCGAGAAGAAAAAAAAAGAAAACACTGAAAAACATCAAGTAAACAACAACACTCAAATGACAATCAGCAGCAGTAACTGGGCGGAACAGACTTCTTTGCAAGCACTGGCTGTAAAGAAGTTAGCTAACTGAGACTAGAAAGTAAAAATGAGGGCCTTCGGTTGCGGAAATAAGCCCGCCGTCCGGCGCGAAATCACTAAGGTGACCGCTTCCTCAGATTATACCGGTGCGTGGTCCGAATGCGGTCCGCCGCGCCGGGTGTGCGCCGTTGCTTGCGCGAAGAGCCACTGGGCGCTGGCGCAGGCTCGTCAGACCTCGACGCAAAGGCTTTCAGGTCTGCGATGTGGGCACGGCTGAGTTTTCCCGAAAGCGGGTCTTTCAGCAAGTACGCGAGTGGAGTCCAAGCTTTTTCCACTCGGTACGGACCAAGCCACTTTGGAGCGAGCGAAGTTGAGAAACCCTTGCTCGCGTCGCTAAGAGCGTGGTTGCGCTTCAGGACGAGGTCACCCACCTTAAATGAAAGGTGGCGACGTTTTCGGTCGTACTGGGCCTTTTGCTCGGCCCTGGCCGATGCCAAACTTTGCCTCGCTCTACTGAGAGCTCGACAAAGCCTGTCCCGAAGTGTGGAAGCGTAAGCAGAACAGTCTGCCGGTTCTTCCTCGTCTCCGAGCTGGCATTGCATGACACTGGTCACCGGATTTGCCAACTCCCTTCCGAAATTAAGGAAGGCGGGAGAGAAACCAGTAGAGCGACTCTCGGAGGTTCGGATTGCAAACGCGAGTTCACTCAAATGGTCTGCCCAGTCCCTTTGACTTTCGGCAAAGGCCGCCAACATCGGTTTGAGCGTACGATTGGTTCGCTCCGTCAAATTGGACTGGGGATGGTAGGGCGAAGTGGTGCAGTGATCTATTCCTAGGGAACGGCACGTATTACCAAACACCCGAGCGGTGAAATACGACGCATTGTCCGTGATCAATCTTTTCGGAAAGCCGAACCGACAAAACACTTCCTGTAGCCTCTCTAGCACCGCTCGCGCTGTCACTTTCCGCAGCGGAAACAGCTCCACCCATTTGGAAAAATGATCAACAACTACCATCAGATGTATGAACCCCTGCTTACTCCTGGGGAACGGCCCCATTAGATCGCAGGTGGCTACTTGCCACGGACGCTCACTGACAATCGGTTTCATCAAGCCGGGCGGCTTGCCACCCCTTGATTTCACCGTTTGACAGACGTGGCAGGAACGGCAATAGCGAAAAATGTCACGCTTCATGCCAAGCCAAGTCACAACCTTGCTCAGTTTCGCAAAAACTTTGGAGCCACTCAGGTGACCGGCAATGGGCTCGTCGTGAGAGGCTCGCAACAGTGCGCCTCTCAGACTTTTGGGCACAACCACCTTAAACGGGTCCACTGACTCCTCATCGGTGGCTATGTATTTCAGCAGGAGTCCATCATGGTCCAGCAAGTATGTATCCGCGGGGGACCCAGCGACACACGCCGGTTCCCGTCCCTCTGCGCCCGCCGCACTACCAGCAGCGTCTCGGCGCTCCGTCTCCCTGAGACCGTCGCTCAACTCGCGACAAAACGGATCATCTTGCTGGGCCTTCAGTAACTCTTGTCTGCTGAAAGCGATTCCCATTCTCCCAAAGGGGACCTTGGTATCGTTCCCACTCAGGACTGCAGCCATCGCCTCCGCTCGCATTGGCGTCACGGGTTCGCTTCCCTTTCGCTCCCCCTCTCGCCCGCTTCGCGGCGCGCTGCTTGCCTGGCCCGTGGAAAGGGTTTGCTCGTCGCCGCACTCACCCTTTTCTCCACTCGGCGGCTCCGCCGCCGTTTCGCCCGCGCCGCTTGCTTGCGCAAAGGCACCGCTAGCGGTTGTCGCACCGGGATCCAGGCTCCTGGTCGACACTGGGGCACGAGATAGCGCGTCAGCTACCACGTTAGTGCTCCCCTTCCGATACTGCACTGAAAAGTCATAATGCTGTATTAGGAGAGCCCAGCGCGCTAGCCTGCCTGCAGGCTCACGGAGCCGCATCAGCCAGCTAAGCGCGCTGTGATCTGTTTGCACCACAAATTTCGTCCCATCCAGGTAGACATCAAACTTCCGCAGTGCAAACACGATGGCGAGACACTCCCTCTCGGTCACGGAATAATTCCTTTCCGCGGGTATCAACGAGCGGCTGGCAAAGG